TGCTAACATTTTTCTATCCCGTTCAGGACAAAAAGCATACATACGGTGTGCCATGTTTTTTGCTCATGTCTTGTGCGCCTTGTTCAGATTCTCCTCTCTCTCTTCACAGGTTTCGTGTTATAACCCGTCATCTAATGAAAATGTCCTGCTATTGTTGCTGCTTGATTTTCTACACATTAGAAAATCTTTCTTACTCTCTGCTGCTATGATTTATTGCCACAAAACAGCTAGTTTCGGACACAATCTTCTTGAAAGTCACTCTCACAGACTGCGATCTGTTTATGAGGGTTTAATGCAGCAAGTATAACATCAACATTGCCCTCCAGGTACCAGAAGCGATCTAAAGAAAACGGCTTCATCTTAGCATTTCCAAATCCCTTTAAAGAGACCAGCAAGCATTAGCCCAGCTGGGACCCCCTCGGTTGCATTATCACTTCCCCTTCGATGTTAATCTTCAGTTGCTTTTATTTATGAACTTTTAAAAATGAAAGTATGAGTACACTTTCAATTTTGTCCTTTTTTTTTAACATTGTTTTTTTTTTTTAGTGTCTTATCCTGTCCTGTCAGTCCTGTCCAATGTTTCTTTTCCGTTGTTCTTTTTTCGTGTTTGACTTCTTTCATCGTCTTGTTGTTATCTAGCTTAAATCCAACAGAGAAGGGAAAGATCCAGCTAAATGACTTTCATTCAATATTTGTATAGTTCTAGTTTCACTAGTTCTAGTTTCACAAAATAATGTAGACATTCTTTGGGGATGTTGCAAAAGAGGGCTGCTTCTCAAAAGCTTTTGTTTGGCCGTCACGCCACAACAAAAGAAAATGACTTTGTGCCGTAGGATTAGACCTCCATCCAGCAAACGTCTGTGTTTCACCTCCCTTCTCCTGCCGTCTGTCATGAGGAGTTCTGATGCGATGTGTTTGGAGCTTTTCAAACACAATTCCTTTTCTGTTTTTCCATCCAGTGCCTGAATTACAAAAGACTAGCCGAATCCTCACTGCAGTTAATTTTTAATGTTTTTTTTTTTTTTTTTTCCTCTTTGATATCATAACCATTATGCCATTATGAATTCTGGGCCTTATACTCGAAAGTTTACACTGTCATTGCTGCGTAGCAAAGAAAACGGCTTTAAATTAAGCATAAACCACAAAACAAATGGCTCTTTGGAAAAACAAAGCTGCAGAAGTGCTGTTGTGTCCATGTTGTGAAGTCCCCTCCCTCTGTCAGTCACATTGCTTTGTGGTCATTCCCAAGCGTGGTTTGGCTATGCATGTAGAATGCGGAGAGCGGGGGAAAAAATCCTGTCTGATGAATGTGACGGTCCAACATGCATGGTCACACACACACACACACACGAATGGTTTCTTTTCAAGAAGATGCATTTTTACCACGGCTGCTGTAGAATCACACATTACAAGAACGAGGACGTCAGAAAAAGGAATATGGAACAATTTGATCAATGTTTTTACTGATTTTTTTCTTTCTTTTCCTATTGAATGTGTACTTGCATGCCATGCATGAACGGGAAGAGGAAACTTGAATTATTGTGCATGGTTGCATGGGAGACAAGTCCCATTTAATGTGTTCATACTTTTGAGGGCATAGAGAGTTTGGTTTTACTTTTTTTTTCTAAAACAACAAGGCAATCAAGAACTTCTAAATGTCCTCATATTAGACTGAGCTAATATAATCAAAGATACCTTGCTTTATGTTTTTTTCTCCATTGATTATTGAAAGTGGATTTAAAAAAAGACTTACAAATATACCCTATAAATGTAACGAATAGAAAACTGATGTCAGAACAATAAATAATGCTTACAGACACTAATGCAATCTGTTTTTTCAAGAATGTTCAATCTGTATTACAGAGTTTGTCAACACCAACAGTATGTGAATACGCATGTCTTTATTTCCTGTATATGTTGTTTTTGTGTTTGTGCATTCTGTGCACAGCCGTGTAGTGTAAACCTCACTTTTTATGTTCTAAATGTGTTTTCTGTGTGTGTTTGTACTACATGGTGACGTGTGACTTCAAAATTTTTTTTTTTTTTGTGTGTGTTTACTGTCGTTTGTTCGCATGTGTTTTTTGTTGTTCTTAGTGTTCCATGAATTATAATCACCTGGTATTGAACTGGCAACAGTGAAAGTTGTAATTCTACTTTTGAATTTCGCAGACAAACATGTCTTGTATTATTTTATTTAGTAATTTTTTTTTGCTCACTAATTCGACATGTCTTATATCAGAGGTTAGAGAAAAGAAATCTAACTTTTTGATCATTATCATAAAAAAAAAAGAAGAAGCTGAAATTGGTGTGTCATTCATTAGATCCACGTATTAAAAACAGACAGGGGGCTAAGGCTGCTTTGACAGACCATATTCTCAATATGTATGGTATTGGAACGATTTGTGTTTGCTGTCTTGTGTTAGCTTGACTGTATCTTGAGATTTCTTTTTCCTCTTGTAATTACAACTTGGATTTCAATTGTGTTTTGGGGCATCATTCTATAGAGGCCTATAGAATGGCTGTGGAGTTTTGTTTCTTTTCAAAGGGCCACTGCACCAAAGGCCTTATTGGATGTGAAACTTTCAGCTCTCGCAGGTCAGCTAGCTGAAAGTGTGCGAGTAGTGCAAAAGGGGGACTAAACTTCTCTCCACCTCTCTGTCCCTTTCGATCCCTTCATTTTCTTCCCTTTGACATCTCCTACCCCGTACCCTTGACGTATAGATCCGGGTGGTGAAAGCTTTCCGTAGCTCCCTGTATGACGGCATCGAGCGGCCGGAGTCGCGGAACTCCATTCACGACTTCCAGGCGCACCCGGAGTTCATCATCACGGACTCGGTCCACAACATCCCCCTGATCGACGAGACGGACGTGGACGACGAATCGGAACGCTCCAACCATAACCATGTGCGTGTGGCGCTTCGTCACCCCGTCCCTAACTCTCAGCCCCAGAGGCCCCCGCGATCCCGCTACCCGTCCCGCCCGCTGCGGCAGCAGAGTCTACCGGTCACCCTCAACTACAACAACAACGCCACCGAGAGCCGTGTCTACCTGGGCTCGAGCGACAACGGGGCGCCGCACGTTTCCCCCTGCCCCGCGAGCCCTCTGCACAGCTTGGAGACATGCCTCTGAAGGAAGGTCAGAGGTCGGCGAGTCGAGACTGCCAGCCAGATGGACTGGTGTGGCAGAGAAACAGTTAGGATGTTTCTGTACCTAATCTTTGTTCCTATCACTATCACAGATTCACTGCTTCAGATTGTTTCAGTGGTTCTTTACAGTATCTTGTGTGACCCAAAGACAATCCCGCTCCGCATGAAAGTCACCGATTATGTTCTCATACAGTATGTTGCACTTGAACAAGTACCCAAAATGACGAGGCGGATCTACGTGTATGTAGGATTGGACTCTGACTAAAGATTTTAAAAAGACTGTGAGCCTATAGAATGTGTACAAATGGGAAGAAGAAAAAAACGTTTATTTGGGGATAAATAACTCCTTTCGCCTTTTAATTAATAACATTATTGTTCCAATTATTATAGTGGTTACATTTCTGCTAAAACTACGACAATTAATACTACAGTTGCTATACTCCAGTTATGATACTTCATCGTTTAGCTTTATATAACTATGTTTGTATGTATGACGTAAGTCTGTATGTATGTGTATTTGTTTGTTTGTTTGCTGTTGTTAAAATCCGTGTCTATGTTCTCATTGGTTCCACATGTGGCCCTCTCTCTGTTTTCTGTGTTAAAGTGTGATGTGTATGTCCAATTGAAAAAAAGGAAATGAAATTAAAGAACATATATCAGCAGCATAAATAAAATAAAATCGAACCATTGGAGGAAAATCTTACAATACTTCCTGGAAATGACAGGCAATGGTGCAAGAGCATTGTGTTGTCTTTAAAGAGCATCTCACCCATTCCTGAAAACACATATTCCACTGTTTTTAAGAAAATAGACTTCCATTTATCAAAGATCTCCAGTACACAAAGATGATGGTTGTAAAGTCGTTCACACTGTAGTATACAGGCTACAGTATGGTGTATTATGTCAGTGAAGCAGATCAGCAAACCCTTAAAGGACAAACAAAAGACAAATAAGGTTGGAAAAGAAATACCGTATTTGAGAAACATACAGGGAAAGACTTGATGGGAAATATAAATTATACTGTCAGTGTCAATAGTACTTTCAACTGTTTGAACAGGGCTCTGTGTGTCCAAAATATGGTGTTTATCGGAAAAGGCGTTCAAACACAAAATCAAATATTTGTTACCAAATCAGATCATGTGGAACCCTTTAATCCCAATCCCTCTTTTATACTTGCATACCAATTAACTAAATATTTGCATTTACCATAAATGTATTTATGCATCTCACTGCATTAGGCCATTCCAGTTCTTTCTTAGAACAGTGCACATACTCTGCCAGAGATTGGTTTAGTATTTGAAGTTATTTAATGTCCCATCCATCAGATTTTAATTAAAAGCTAATTGCAACTGCAATTTAAAGCAAACATGAAAACTAATTTTTGCAATATGTCTCTGTTAAAAAATAGTAAATAGATTAAAACTATTCTACAATTTTTGCTTTTTAAAAATGTAATATTGCCTGTTTTACATTTCTGTTTGTATTATATTTTCCAGCTGATGAATGATGAACACTTACAATCAATCAGAATCCACCCGAGCTCGAGCATTTAAAGCGCCAGACAACATAACAGCAGCGTGCATTGGTGTGGACGCTAATATAGTTATTTACAATGATTCAAACAGTGAGTAAAGGGGTAGATGACAAGATTTATATTTTAAATTAACAAATCATTTTAAACTTTACCAGCTGGTTTACTTTTTGTCCGCTTCTATATCGAATTACATTCAACTTTTATCTAACAATGACTTTTATTTTGACACTGAAGACCAAACTCCGGAAGTTTTCTCTGGAAGTCCCCGCTGAGTGCAGAGCGAGAGAGGGGTGCATGCAGATGTTCGATAACAGGTTTATTTAATTGAAAAACAAAACGTATGAATTCTATTTGTGAGCTTTGCTGTGGAGACATGACTGTGCCGCTTTTGCCGCGATTGAAGTGACCAATTTTAGGTATATGACAACTTTTGTTTTTAGTTTGATTTGGTAACGTTAAACGTTTCCTGTTTACGTTTGACTATGGTCCTTCCTAATGACAAATCCACAAAATTCACAATGTTAACGATAATTTCCGACAAAATACATTCAGAAGTTTATACAGCATTATTTTAAAAGTGATTGTCTTTTACAGTCTGTCATTTTGTTTATTGTTTAAAGGAGCTATATGTAGAATTAGGAAACCATTATTATTGGCGACACCGGTGGCCGTTAAGCGAACTGCAGCCGTTAAACTTACTGCTCGTGCTCGCACTCGTGCACACGTAACATACAAGAGGAGTGAACGTGATCCAGATTATGAATGTAATTTGATATTTAAGACTGATCATGCCCAAATGTGCCGAGTCAGAGACAGTTGCGTTCAGTTGGTGTTCACAGTCGGTGTTTAAAATCTGCTGCAGTCGTTGGAAACAGTCTGTAAGTGTGTTCAGTTCAGTCTTCGAATGTTTTAGCTTGTCGTTAAGTGTGTCCCCGGCTTTAGGGGTAAATAGAAGTTGGAAATACCTTTGCAGCGATAAACTGTTAGTAGGGATGCACTGAAATTGCGGCCGCCAAAAATTATCAGCCAAAAATGGCATTCTCGGATTTTGTCCGAAAATATGCTGCCCCTCCCCTGGGCATATATACGTCACATCCTTTACATTTTCCCGGCAAAACCGTACCGAGTCCTTTACATAATAATCAGTCAACTCAACATTCTTTCATAGAAAATATAGGAAGTCGGGGAAGGTCTAGTTTTTTTAAGGTTTGTTAGAAGCTGTTCACACAATGGCATTGATATATGAAAATTCCTATATATAGCCCCTTTAATTGTAGTAGTTAGTAACAAAAACAAGTAGCTAGGCTGTTGGATGAAGCTAGTAAGTAGTAACAATGGTAAACTTTTCTTTAAAATCTATTTTATTGAACTTAAACTAAAGACCTTAGCACTTAAGTTTACCACCTCTGTATGTTGACTAGGCAATTTAGTTGTTTAGTAATAATAAAATGCAGAGGCGTTTATAAAAGCTCAGGAGACTGCAGTAATATGAATGCTTTATTCAACCAGTCCCACAGGTTCAAACTCTTCCGTGATTCAGCATGTCCTGCATGGAGAACATTGTTGTTTACATTCCCAAAGGAACATGTGTCAAAAACATCCCCGTGCAGTCCCTGTCCAGCTCCACGGCCAGGAAGATCCGTGTCGCTCTGTCTCAGCATGAATCAGAGAAACAGATGCCGCAGACAGTGACGTGGATCTGTCCGGTTGAGCTGCGGGAAAAAGAAGTGGCTGTGGGCAAGGACAGCAGAGAAACACTTCCACAGGGCCAGAGGACGCCGGTCACCAAAATAACTCCAGGCCAGTTTTTGCTGCCTGTTGTGAGTTCCAGCATCACTGCCTTTAAGGTCCTAAGAACAATTTTAAAAACACATAAGCCCAAAATACAGTTTTCAGGGCTGGAGACTGAAGCGGCCTCATTTCCCAGCATCAGGGATTCGGTTCAGAGAAATGCCATCATCGTGTTTAACGGCCAGATCTTCCTGTCAGTGAGAAAGTCACGCTACAGGCGAGTGAGACTGCAAAACTCTCCCTCAACAGCTTCAGGTGTGTGTCCGGTTTCTCCCAGTCAACAACAGCAGATAAACACTCCACCTAGTTGTCAGGCACAACTGCTCCTGGACCCTTCACCCAGATCACAGCAGAACAAGGTGGGACATTTCACAACTCATATTCAGTAATATTGGACTGCACTTACACTATCGGATGAGACCAAAATTTGAACTGAATTGAGTAACAACACTAACTTTGCAACATCGACACTGTTATTGAACTGAATCAACACCAGACTGACTTGAGACACTTCTCTAGAGTTGCTTTACAGCTGAATTTAACTTGTTTTATAATTGATGAACTCTAACATTATTCAGTTATTGAACTGATTTAAAGCAACATTGAACTAAATTAAGCCGGATTGTCTTCTGTAGAGTTGCTTTACAGCTGAAATTGAATTTGTTTCAGAAGTGATGAATTTTACAATATTTGCACTGTTATTTTCATCTTTAATTATGTGAAGCTGCTTTGAAATGTATTTATATTGTATTAAACGCTATATAAATAAACAGGGAATGAAATTCTCAGATGAGGTATTTTTAAATTAAAACCTATTTAGATTAACTGTAGATAGTTAAAATAAACCAGTTTATTGATATTCAAAGTAAAACAAACCTATACAATTATAAGTGTTCATTGATACTCAAAGAAAAAAATATTTAAAAATATGGCACTCCAAAATCACTTAACCGTCTTCTTGCTGAAATATACTTGTTATAACCCCTTTCTCCGTTGTCATCACTCTTAAGATGATTTCAATTTCATGCTGCAAGGAATCTTGAAAGCAGCGTTATATAATAAAATGACAATTTAAAGCTGAATATGCTTTTACATTATGAAGGATCTCTAAAGGGAAAATATCAATATCTATTCAACATCCCTTTTACATTACTTAGCTATAAAGGTTCAGAATTTTTTTTTTTTTAGTGATTCTCTTCACTTTTTATATTGAGTATTATTTGCTTTATGCCTTTGATAAAGTCTTTTATTTGATTTCTGATTGTTGCATGTCTCTTTCCAATCCACAGACTCAGGATGGTCAGGCTCCAGCCACAGATCTTGACATTAACTTGCACATTTCACCAAAATTGCACAAAGTCTCTGAAGAAATGCCTGAGCAATGCTGTACGGGCAAAGAGTGTCAAAAGGTCAAGCTTCAGTCTTTTATTTTACTCTGTGTAAAGTCTTGAAGATGGGCATGATAATTTGACATGATTAAAGGTGCTGTAAATGTTTTTGAATGCCATGCAGAAAATTTCGTGAGGACTAAAATATGTCCTGAAAAACTTTTTGGGCTAATTGAAAAACAAATGTTCACTGCCTGCCTGTCAATCATTTTACCTGGCTATTTGTTGGCACCCCCTGGTAGCATTTCTTGTTTTTGAGCCAATTACTTAAGCCAGAAAGACGATTTTTAAAAGTTCTCTAGAATACATGGTTACTTTTGAATGGCTGTCAATGGAGAAAGACTCAGAATGGTGTAGTTATGACATCTACCAGCAGGGACTAACTAGACCATGCTAACCAGCTAAACCTTGATCGCTTGGTGACTGGCAAAATAACTGAAATCCCTTACAGTACCTTTAAATCTTAAAAAACATTATTTTAAAAGTGATTAGGTCATTGGTGTTGTTTGAAATCTGATTGATGATTATTAATGAACTTTGCCTTTGAATTAACAGGAAACCTCTGAGTCCAGGTCAGCAATTAGCCCACCCAAACCTGAGGATCTGGAGTCCAGTCAGGAGCCCAATATCCTCCAGCAGTCCCAGATCATCCACGCATCGGCTAGCGTCTCCGAGCAGCCTGAAGCAGCAGCTGGAGAAAGAGAGGCGCACGAGGATGACCATGAGCGTTTAGCATTGCTCCCCAGAGCTGAGAGCTGTCTTGCTTTTGACTTTGAACAGTTGGCCCAGGAGGAGAGAATCAACAACCTACGAGCTCGGCTGAGGCAGAAGGAAGCCGCCCTCAGCATCTTTAACTCAAAGCTGACGGATCAGATTTAGAGGATCAGACTTTTCTTAAGATGTCTGTTCAAGCGGTGTCGAAATTCCTCGTACATAATTTAATTTGAGCAGCAGAAGAAATGTCTCAAACTTTGGTTGAGAAAGTTCATTAATATATTTATATAAATATTGTCATTTAAATAAAATAATAGTGTAAAAAAATCGCCAGACATGTTTTTGTGCAATAAATAAATGTGCAGCTAAAATTAAAATGTCACTCGGTTCATTGGTTGAAATAAAAAAGGTTTTGTGTCAAACTAAGAATTGGCTATTATTGTACCCACACATCTGACTGGTAACATAACGTTTTGTCTCTATTTTATCTTTAAGTGTGTACTCTGTGATTGACTGTGAATGCATTCCTTTGTTTTATCATTTCAGTTGAAGCCCACACACTCGAAAATCACTTAACCGGCTTCATGCTGAGATATACTTGCGATAACTTCTTTCTCTGTTGTCGTCACTCTTGAGATGGATTTCAATGTCATACTGCAGGGAATCTCTAAACCGGCGTTCTATAAGATAATGATGACACTTCAAAGTTATATATGCACATAATAAAGGATCTCTAAAGGGACAATATCTGTCAGATAAATTCATGCGCCACATCCCTCTTACATTACTTAGCTATAAATGTTCAGATAGAAACGTCGATTTTGATTTTCTGTTGTTTATCTGTCAGATTTCTTTTGTAGTTTCATGCGTCTTCAGCAAAAGACAAGCTTTGCGATTATGTGTCGTCTGTGTGTAGAAGGAAGGGTAGGGTGTGTGCCGTTGGCCCGTCCCCTCCTGGTCCTCCTATAAGAGCACACCGGAGTAAGAACGTCAGTAGCTCTTTAGAGACCAAACCATTCAAAAATAGACATGCCATCAGACGGACTTCCAGCCTGTCATGCCAGACGCCTTCAGATTCTAAGAGGATTCATGCTGAAGGTGAGACTCTTCACGCACTTACCTAGAAACATTACAACGGGATGCACCAGGATCAGGCTTTCAAATTAAAGACATTACACCTATTGCATGTTATCTGGATGTAGAATTTAGGGGGGAAAGACCACATCATGCTGCTTTTTTGTTTCGAGCTGTTTAGACTCCACTGATGGTAAGAATCCATAAAAGCTGGTCAAAACAACTTTCCTCTTTTTTTTTTGCGCTAAATGACTAGTTTGCATAGATGACTCAAATTACCTTTTTGTGACCAACAATTACTGCCTCCAATGCAGGTTTGCATGTCAGGGAGCTATTATGACGTTGCTTTGTCGTGTGGGTTGTAGGAAAATATAGATCTGTAATGCATGTCATCGTATCAAAAGGTCAAGACGGTTAATACTTTTGCAAAGTCATTTTCTGAGTCAACAGATTTTTGTGTACACTTAAAAGTAAATTGGTATCAGTGGTTGCATTAAGAACCTTTAACATCCACGGAACCATTGCACAAGTAGTTCTTAATAGTGGAAAAGGGTTCAATAGACTATTAAAATGTTGACTGAAAGGTTCTTTGGGGAACCCAAATTGGTTCTTCTACGCTCTTAAACAGAAAGGTTCCAAAAGAGGGGCTTCAAAGCGATGCCATAGAAGAACCACTTTTGGTTCCCCAAAGAACCTTTCAGTGAACAGTTCTTAAAGGGACCCTTTCCATGAATATTAAAGGTTCTTCATGGGCAGTTATAACTTTCAGGGCACTGCCAGTGTGACTTTTCGTACATGCTCTCACTTCAGTATGATTTAAAAAACAAAATGTATTCAGAACGTCATGCGTCACGACTTGTATTCATTGCTTTGACAAAAAGGAGTGCATCTCTCTGATAAGATGCAGCTGGCTGAGAGTTTGTTGTTTCTGTTGAAGCAGGTGCCCAGCTGGCGAAGTGTGTGCGTCCTCTACTCCCTGTACTGCGTCCTGATTCTGCCAGACGCTGGCGAAGCGGCCAAAGCACGCTGTGGACGGGAACTAGTCGCTGATCTAGAGTTTGTGTGTGGAGACCGTGGCTTTTACAGAGGTCAGAGTCACCTACAATCTTCATCTTATATTTCTGATGTCCTGTATTTGGATACTGCAGAAACTACTGTTTTCAAAGATGTGTGTGTGCTGATCATGTGGGTCAAAGGACAAACCGTTTGGTTTGGACACAGTGATATAGAAGTAACTTGCATGTCTCTAAACCTTTAATCTCACTCACAACACCATATCATATTCATACCAATGAATATCAGTGTATTAAAAGTGGCCTTGCCCTGAAGATACAGACAGTGGTATCAAGTCAAGCCCTTATCATTATGGTGTAGATGCAAATCACCCTAACGACCAATAGCAAGCAGTAACTGTCTTCTGTTGTGGGTGGCCTGAAGTTATAGTTATTGATATAAAACACTCCATTAATGACAATACAATTTACCACACCCACATGTACTCTTGATCTGCGGTTGTTGATATCAACATTTTTTATTTCTACTAACTGAGGCCCTTTCACCCTGTTCCATATCCAAGGCCACCTTGATACGTTTCTCGTTCTCATTCACTCCTTTTCTCAAAAAGAACATTATGACACGGTCTCAGTGACTCGTATTTCAATAATTTCACAAAAATTGCTATCATTTGTCAATGACTTTTCACTCCTAATTGTAAATGAAAGTTCAATCAAATAAATGAGAATTGATTTGATATAGAAACTTTCAAATAAAAGTCTTTACTGTCATTAATTTAATGGGTACTTGCGGAGTAAAAGAATTCATTTCTTTCAAAAGAAAAGTACTGACCCCAAGCAATTGATTGGTAGTGTATGTGTTCACCCCATTTTAACAGTTACAACTAACTCTTATAAACATGACTGGCATTAAAACCTTTGTGTCTGTTGGTGGTTAGGCAAACCCGGAGCAGCTCGTAGCGGCGGTCCTCGCTCTCGTGGGAAAGGGATCGTCGAGCAGTGTTGCGTGCGGGGATGTGACCTCCAGCATTTGGAGTCGTACTGTGCCAAACCCAAGAGGGTGCGCCGTGACGTCCCTGCATCCCTGCAGCAGACTTTGGTGAGACTTCAACTCTACAGACAGACATAGATCCTATTTAACTTCTTGAAAATACACAGGCAGGTGTGCTGAAGCAGGTTGGGAAAAAAATGAGCAGACAGTCTTCAGGAGCAGGGTTGAAGACCTCTTCTCCAAGCTTATAGAAGACTGAAGACTCGCCTACCTGAAGTTTATTTCCAACCAACGCTCACCTTCAAGCGATCCTGAAGACCTTGATTTGCTGCATCAGGCGTTTGAATGAGGATGGAACTAAACTCTGCAGGACCAGTGTTGAAGACTTCTGGCTTAGAGGAAGAGTTGAAAAATGAAACTTGTCTTTTACTCACTAGCCCATTTGAATTCCTTTGTGAAAAGGACACATTTAAAAAAAAAATATATACTCAGTGGTCACTCTTGCCCATTAAATTACAGTGTCATTTAAATTGTTCATGTTAACTGAAGCCCATCAGTAAAGTTCGATTGAGGGTGATCATCACGACTTGATCACGACCTTATAGTCATTTTTAAAATTATTATTATTCTGGACTGGAGTTTGATAACCAGTCCTCATTTATTTTGATTGCGCTCAAGAATTGTGTTGTATGGAAGAAAGAAAGTCACATCTATTAATATTGCCGATTGTTTCAGCAAGTGAAACCTTGCAACTTTGAAACCCAGCAAATTCCATGAAAATTATACACAATTCCTTTTTGTTTGTTGCAGGAAGATCAGTTTTGGCTGTTGTTTCAGCGGCGATACCAGAAGCTTGCAGGGATGAGGAGAGATGAGGAAGCTGCGTCTCATAGACTCAGAGAGCAGACGCTCTACCGGTGGAACAACAGAGATTCAGTATTACTAAACACCAACACACTCAACCGAGCCCCTTCAACACACCAACATCCTGCCACTGAGAGAATGACATCAAGACCAACATTTATCCCCCACATCCGATAGTCATGGCTCTTTTTGGGATCTGCGTGGACTCTATGAATCATCTTCCTTTTCTAAGAAAGACTTTTCCGTCCTTGCAGAAGTATAAACTGAGGACTGTTTAAGAGAACTAGAAGGCAAGATGCCATGAAAGTGAAGAGTGGGGTGTGTGTGTGTGTGTGTGTGTGTGTCTGAACATGGCTTGTACTAGTTTCACATTTGTCGAATACGAGATGAATTGTATTTTTCATTTTGTTTTCAGCTTCCCTCCTAGCATTGACTTCTGGTTTTGGGTAAATGAGTTCAAAGCAAGTTGAGGCAAGTTGAAAGAGTTTGTATGCTACTCTTAAAGACTCAATATGGGAACACTGATGGCTTAAGTCATTTTGAATGTAAATGTGACGTGTTTTTATGAAAGATTACTGATATCAGTGAATATATTTTCTTAAATGTTTTTTTTTATGTTTTATTTATGGTCTGTATATTACTGTATGCTTAGGTTTTTCTAATACTTGTGAAATATCCAAATGAAAGCAGATTTGGAAAGAAACTTTAATTAAAAAAAATTGTGAGAACAACATGCTTTTCGTTTTATGGCAATATTTTATAATGGCCATCATTTCCCAACATACTCAAATCAGCTTCAGTTTAAACCTCATTTATAAAACGTGTGTACGCACAGATTTGATCTTAAAGTGTGCGCACGCTAAAATCCACGCCAACGTTCATATTCATAAAAACAGTGTTTGATGTACTGTAAAAAATGTAGACTGGTGATTTATGTTAATGACGTTGTTGATGTTAATAAGGCAGCGTTTACAAGGTGGAGAACTGAAAACATTCAGCTGTGCACAATTTCCAGATCTTTTTTTGCGATTTATAAATTTCACTTCTGGAAGAGAGGCGTATGCATGTTTTTTGTGCGTACCTTTGTTCTCTGAATCACATGTACGCACATTTGAGAAATGATCATAAGTTTCTATGCAGCACTTTATAAATGAGGCCCCAGATCTTAGACAGAACTGTAGAATCCTGAAAGCTGTGTTTCTAAGGTTTTTCTGGATTATTAGATATCGTCCCAATGACCTCTAAGGAAAGAACATTATGGTGAATAAATAATATCATCTCAGCCTTGGTGTGTTATCACTCTCTAAACATGTAATACGTTTCTTTTTGGTACGCATTGGTGCAGTTTGGTGTTATGACTTGGATGTTCTTCACAAAGGTCTTTAGTAAGAGTGCAGTCAGCAAAGCATTTTTGACATTGCAGGAGAGCAGCACACAGCAACAATAAGAGAGTTAAACAAGCAAGAGGAACAAGGACAGGGCAAAAAAAAAAAAGAGAGAGAGAGATGTTTAAACAAAGTCCCTTTAAGGCAAGTCATTTCACTCGGCGACCATCTTCTTTGAATTAAATTTTATATTTGAAATCACTAATGAAATCTGACAACAACTGTCTCATAAATTTTGTTTTAAAAGCTCAATTCATGACAAAAACTGCACTTTTCTGGATGGACCAGCCACTGCACATGTGCATGCGCTAAGCGCTTTCTGTTCTAGTAGCAACCAGAGCTTCTCAAGGCATCTGCATGACGTGATGACTTAACCAAATGGCAATTGGCTCTTTTATTTAGAAAGTGGGACTTATTCCACTATTGCACTTTCTCCCATTCATAGTAATTTGAGTGCACCGTCTTTGTATATCTAAAGTCTTTGGCTTAAAACACTTAATATTGCATTTGGGTTTTTGGTGGTATTACATGTTTAATTAATATGAAGGGAACTGTGAGTGTTTTTACTCCCAGTCTACAATAAATTTGCAATCTTTTAGTATAAGAAATATATGTGCCAACTGTAATTAATTAGAATATTTATATTAAAAAATATATATTTTTGTTTTATAACACTTTCTTTCTTAAGTCTAAGAATAACGTGTTTAGAGCAAGTCTAGGGGGGCGGTTAGATGACACCTAAAGTTTCAAAAAGTAAAACTTTATATGCACTTTGGCCATTTACACGACAATGGCGTTCTAGGGCCTGAAAATGAACCTTTTTGAATTTTTTTGAATTTTTTGAAAATGATACCGTTACTGTCTGTGTAAACTACAAAAAACATGAATTTGTGAAAACGGTGACGTCATGCGCATGCGTATTATGTGTTCAGTCAATAGACGCATAGTTTTTCTTTACAAAGTGACATCGCCAACTACTGGCCTTGCATGAATAATAAAGTAAAAAGCGAGCTAGCATTCAAAAGCGATTGTAATACCCTGAATATTGATGGCAGCTCCCTGATGCCTGCAAATATAATATAATTACCCATCTATAATTGTGAGAGAATGCAAAAGGATTGAAATATATATTTTTTCCTCATCTCATATTTTTTTCCATCACCATGTCCCTTTAGGGGTTTCGTAGAATGCATCATTTTCTAAACATAGTATTCGGCTTCGGGCACATCATTAGAGGTGTTCGACTTGAAGTGGCGCTGTGCAGACCGATATGGCATAAAAGTACTGCGGGAGAGATTCGAAAGCAAACAGAGCTGTCTTCTCTCTAATTGCCTTTTGAACCGACTGATCTGTGCAGCACCACTTCAAGTCGATCACACCTAATGATTTAAGAGAAATACTAAAATCAGCTTTTACAAAGTCATCAAATAGATACTTGAAATGTTCATATTTTATTATTTTGTTAAAAAAAAATTATTTACAATTTTTTTTAAATGTATAACTAGTTGTATAAAGTTGCTGTCAGTGACAGTTTTAGCATCTATCGTTTGTTAACCTACAAAAAAAAGGAGATAAAATAGACATGTTTAAATTAAAAAGCATCATAATATTACAGAGCAGAATAAAAAAAGTACTGGAATTACTCCCAGATTTTTCATGCGCACAGGAGATGATGCATGTAAATACATTAAAGAGAGTAACTCAATTAATGTAACACTGCAGAGATTAAAAGTTAGTCATGTATCGTTTTATGAGGTTTGTCCAGCTGAAAACGCACTTCCTCTGCCCTTGAGCAGTGATAAGAGGGGTGCTCGAGTTTATCTGGAGTTTCACAGGTGACAAATCTGCAGCCTTTTAAGACACACACACACACACACACACACACACACACACACACACACACACACACACACACACACACACACACACACACACACACACACACACACACACACACACACACACACACACACACACACACACACACACTCTCTCTCTCTATTTGCACACATCATCTGCTAAATGCATAACACTACATTTAATATGTATGTATAAGTTATCATCAAGTTACAGTGGCATGCCGTCTGTTTAGTTTATCAATGAAGTTGTTTCTTATTTGCATATCAAAGAGATTTTCATAATCTAAGAGCTCTGACATCATTTGTGTCTTTAAAATCGTCAGCACTGATTACTTCAGGGGATCTACCAGTCTTCTGGAGCTGAACTGGTCCCTTTGAGGTTGGTAAGATATATATAATGCGTTTAATAGAAGTCTCTTATGTTCACCAAGGCTGCATTGATTAATAATATAGTGAAAGCAGCAATATTGTGACCTATTATTACATTTTAAAATAACTATTTTCTATTGCTAACATTGGTCTATTTTAAAGCGTAATTTATCCTGTGATGGCATAGCTGAATTTTCAGCATGTTTCAGATTTTGATCATTCAGAAATCATTCTAATATGATGAATTGATGCTCACAAAACATTTCTTAGTATCAATGTTGGAAACAGTTGTGCTGCCTAATTTCTTTGTGGAAACCGCCATATATTTTTTTTCCATGATTCTTTGATGAAAAAAAAGCATTTATTTGAGTTTTAGCATTAACCGCTTTGATCAATTGAATGCATCCTTGCTGAATAAAAGTATTAGCCTACTTTAAAATAAATATGTCATGTACATGTCACTCTTGATTTGTCAGGAAGAGGCTGAACCCTGTAACCATCAGAGTAGTATTTCAACAAGTGTGTTTCCCAGGCCTTGACCATTTTTGCGATATCAGCGTCACATTTTTTATTTTCAGATGTGCGAGGTGGAGATGGTTTTATAACGCTGAAACAAACTTACAGCTGCTTCAGTCTTAGATAAGAAATACATTCGCATCACAATACTCAATTTTCCCTTCTGCGTCAGAGTCTGATAACAGCGCTCACTCTCCCGTTCTGGAGACGGACCAAATCTCCGGGCCACTGTGGTCAGGATAAACATGCCCTTTTAGCTCTGGAAAAAAATGACCAGGCAACATTGCCTATTTTTGTTGACAACATTTCTATCAGAAATGCATTTCATAATCATTAGCATTGGTGAAATGGTATTTTGAAGAAAGAAACCGCAAGAAAAGTAATAAAAATGTTCATGACTTTGAGAAAACTTTTCAGACACAGGTGCAGGGATATAAATAGCAGATTTTTATCTGAAAACATTTGTCTGAAACATTTAAATTAATTAGCATTTGAACAATCTATTCATATGTAACCTCCCAGCTCCACAGGAAAAGTCAAAGCATGTAATTAGACAAAACTGACTGAAAATTCTTAACCTTGTGAGCAAATAAAAAGGAGAAATGACCTCTCAAGGTCCTTTTATAGGCCAAAAAACATTCCGAGACTAAAAAATGCAGTTAAATGAGAAAAAGCTAAGAAAGTCACATAAATTTATCCTGTATAGAAAATATATTTACAGTGCTCTGCGCAAACAACAATATCATGGTGTTTTCGGATTTGATTGTTTAGAACTAATGCAATGAACAACTGACTGTTCTACATTAGCAGTTTAAAACTAACATGGCCCACTTTTATTTTTTTTATCTGTTAAAGAGACTTTGGACACGTGATTTTCCGTAAATCAGTCAGATTTTGATCCGAGATCTATGTAAATACAGAATCAACATGTTAGCAAACATCTGTGTAATGATTTATCAATTGTCAGTGGGAAGAAAACAGCAAGCGGACTAGACAGATCCGCCAAACAGACAGACATTTCATGGGCTTGAAGCTTCTTCCATTTGAAAGTATATCTGCGTAAGTTGTTTTTCTTTTTTGCTTACAAAGAAATTTGCTTTATATTTATTTTCCCTTTCTTACAATACATTTATATTAGCAATTACTAATATATATATATATATATATATATATTGTACATTTATTATGAATAAAAACTGTTTGGCCATGCTCTGTTCTTACTTGTAAGGTTATTCAGAGATATTGTGAATGTTTCTGAGAAACATGTAGGCCTGGTGAACATTAAATGTGTGTGTCTATAACTTGTAATAACGCGGAATTGGTTTTCTTTTCTCTCCAGGACAGAATCCAACACTATGTACCGCATCCTCCTGTTGCTCTGTGCAGGTGTAAGTAAATGACTAAGATGAGGACTTTTACTCAGTATTTTTTTTAGTAGAACAATTGAACGTTTCCATATTTTTTTTTAAAAAAATTGTGATTAATCAAGTGACTATTTTTAATATTTAACTAATCGGTTGTTGGTCGCTTGGTCTATACCGGGCGGGAGCTGCTCACTGCATCCCATCATAATATGATATCGGATGAATCGAGAATCGAGATTCTCGTTGCGTAACGTAGCAAAGATAGCACACGGGATGACCCATCGCAATCTATTTCAGATCTAGCCTTGTCCACGTGCTTCTTCCGACCAGGGTTTTTATAGTAGTTAATTAAAACTAAAAACATGAGAAACATTTTCGTTACTTGAAAGGGGCACAGAGTGTAGGAACTCGGTTATAGAAACTAGGGCGGTCCCATGAGAACTAAATTTTCCCCTAGGGCAGTTTTCTTGGTTGCATTTGCACCACCAGTGTGAACTCTGAAGTGACACTAGGCTACGTCCTGCCGCTCTGGTTGTTGTGTGGGACTTTTATTTTGAAGGTGCAGAGCGGCAGAGCCTCAGCACACAGCGCTCCCATTCTCCGTGTTCATTTTACGATCTGTTGATGCCCAATGTTTCTAGCAGAGCAGAAATATAATCATGTTTCGGTTGGTCCCTTCAAAGTCACATTGGATTTCCTCAGTAAAGGTTGAGAGGTAGTTGGACTTTGGCGTCGGACCATCCATGTTCTTGGAGTACATAGGCTATAAACGATGTTTATGGCTTTTTAAAAATGGTGGGTGCCGATGTTTTGCATTTTTCGAGATGGTCCTCACTGCAGAACACGAAATCCAGGGGGAGGAGTTGGATCCAGATCCAACTCCTCCCATCTTACATATACCTAAACCTACCCATCTCCGCCCCCTGATCCCTAACCCCACCCATCTCCGCCCCCTGATCCCTAACCCCACCCATCTCCGCCCCCTGATCCCTAACCCCACCCATCTCCGCCCCCTGATCCCTAACCCCACCTCTAATCCTACCAATCTCCACCCCCTGATCCCTAACCCCACCTCTAATCCTACCCATCTCCGCTCCCTAACCCCACCTCTAATCCTACCCATCTCCGCCCCCTGATCCCTAACCCCACCCCTAATCCTACCCATCTCCGCTCCCTAACCCCACCTCTAATCCTACCAATCTCCACCCCCTGATCCCTAACCCCACCTCTAATCCTACCCATCTCCTCCCCCTGATCCCTAACCCCACCTCTAATCCTACCCATCTCCTCCCCCTGATCCCAAACCCCACCTCTAATCCTACCCATCTCCACCCCCTGATCCCTAACCCCACCTCTAATCCTACCCATCTCCTCCCCCTGATCCCTAACCCCACCCCTAATCCTACCCATCTCCGCCCCCTAACCCTAACCCCACCTCTAATCCTACCCATCTCCAACTCCTGATCCCTAACCCCACCTCTAATCCTACCCATCTCCGCCCCCTGATCCCTAACCCCACCTCTAATCCTACCCATCTCCACCCCCTGATCCCTAACCCCAACGCATTCTCATCCCAAAGCGTAATATATTGACTCTTTTGCCAAAGCGTCTATATCCAACGCATATGGCACCCTTTAGCGTCAATATAACACGCTTCGGTTTTGGGTAGGTTTAGGTCTGGGGTAGTGTTAGGGTTAGACCACTAGGAGGCGCCATATATCTGCGTCTCATATGACGCTAAAGGGTGCCATGTGCGTTGGATATAGACGCTTTGGCAAAAGAGTCAGTATATTACGCCTTGGGATGAGAACGGGCTCTAACCCCACCTCTAATCCTACCCATCTCCACCCCCTGATCCCTAATCCCACCTCTAATCCTACCCATCTCCGCCCCCAGATCCCTAACCCCACCTCTAATCCTACCCATCTCCGCCCCCAGATCCCTAACCCCACCTCTAATCCTACCCATCTCCGCCCCCTGATCCCTAACCCCACCTCTAATCCTACCCATCTCCACCCCTTAGATGTGGATCCAACTCCGCCCCCTGGATCTCGTGTACTGCAATGAGGTGCTACTGCATTTTTCGGCCAATACACGTCACTGGTAATTCCTATTGTGCTCTGAAGTAGGAGCTATTTTTAGTCCCCCCAAAGGGCTTAACTAAAATCATTCCCAGTTCCCGCGGTGCGAAGACTTTTCATGTAACGCTTTTTTATTGCCAATGTGAAAAGCAAGTAACGAAACTTAAAAAATGAGACCTTCCCCGGCATCCTATGTTGTCTATAAAAGCCTGTGAAGACTCATTTTTATGTGAATTGTGAAGGATTCGGGACGTTTTTGCCGGGGAAATCAATATGTTAAGTTTACGCGCGCTTCCGAGAGGGTCTCTTCCATTCTAACGAGAAACGAATGCTTAATGTTGAGGATAATGCCGAAAGACTGTAACGCCAATGTGTCATGCAAAGAAAAAGCACTAACAGCAAAATCTATACAGATTAGTCTAAAAACCTATACTTTATTGTCAAACTATAATAGTGTAATTTTAATTACCTCATCTGTCGACATGATGGCAGTGAGTAAATTGCAGAGCTGGTGCAAACATATCCACACATCGCTTTGATTAGATGAATTCTTAAATGCCGCTTTCTCCACGCTGTCATTTTGTTGTGATTATTTTGTTATTGCGAGAGCTCTCAGCAGCGTGGACGGCGTCGTGAGGTTTATCGCTGCAAAGGTATTTACAACTTCTTTTTACTTCTAAGTGAAGAACGAAAAATAACATCGCAGTTAGTATCTTCACATGTGCACGAGTGCGAGCACGAGCTGTAAGTTGCTGGCTGCAGTTCACTTAACGGCCACCGGTGTCGCTAACAAGAGTTTCTGAATTCTATATCCCCTTTGAAATAAAATAAACTTAATCTTGTCATTTACTCACCCTCAAGTTTTTACAAACTAGCTTGACTTTATTTAGTGATAAAAATGTCAGACTGTTCTTAATTGGCTTCGGACAACATATATCACAAAAGTTAACATATGGGCCCCTTTTATGATACTGTATAATGGTGCTTTTACAATCTGCCCTTTCTTCAGCTTTCCCTGTCTACCTGCGACATCACTGTCCCGCTAAACTCCAGTATTTCCCTTCCTTGTCTTCCTGACAAAGCCCCTACACTGGTTGACTCTACATACACCTGGAGCGTCACGTCTAATCAGACACAGCAGCAGCACATACTGGAGGAGAAGAGTAACATCTTGAACTTCAGAAGCATAAATACCTCTGACAGCGGACAGTACAAGTGTGTGCAGGAAGGCTATAAAGGAGAGGGTCGTGTGAGGTTAAGCAGAACATTCACGATACGTGTGGAAGGTTAGAGGTTTTCTTAACAGTGAAGTGAGCTTGTCAAACATCATCTCATTGATGATTTTTTTTTATCTCAGAAGTCAATTAATAAACTAAACTCTTTTTTTCTTCTTCTCAGAACCCCCACCTTTTCAGGAATGGCAGGTCATCAAAGTAGAAGCTATGAATGATGTCACGCTTCCATGCCAGGTTAACGGATTTCTCTCTTCCAGAGAAACAAAATCACCCCCTGTTGTCTGGAAACGAGAGAAAGAAGGTGTGGTCGTGCTTCTCAAGCCTGTCAAAGAAACAGACAGGCAAGAAGAGAGAGACCTGACACTTCAGAGGGTTTTCTGGAACAACAGGTCTGATGAACAGGACTGGGCGATTAAAATTAGTCAGGCCAGAGAGGAAGACGCTGGGATGTACCAGTGTGTCATAACAGAATCATCTCATACGCTGTTGGTGGAGCTGGAAGTGCAAGGTACTCCGTTTAGACACTTATTTAAAAAATATTTATAAATTCTGTCTGTTTAAATAATATTTTTGCAATTTATTTGAAATAAAATAAATACATTTTAAAATCAATTTCATTTATAAATTATATCAGTTTTAATATTCTTACATGTAACAAAATGTTTTTTTAAAAAAGTAACTTTTAAAAATAAAATAAAATGTGTGTATAAATTCTGTTGTAACATTATTCTTAGATTTTATTTAGGAATAAAGAAAATATTTAAGAACATTTATAAAAGTGTTTAATTTTAAAATGAATTTTATTTATAAATTAAGTAAAATGTAAGAAAAACAAGTTTATTCTTGTGTGCTTTAATATTATTCTTACCATTTAGGAGTTAAAAATTAGTTATTTAGTTAAAATGTATAATGAGTTAAAATAGATGTTATATAAGAATATCTGTTTATAATTTATGTTTATAAACTCATATTGATTGCATGCATACAATATGAGTTTCAGAGCAGAGCGTTTAGGTTGGAATTCACATAGACGGTATTTTTACATCTTAAATCACATCCTTTTGGAATGAAATCACATATTTTTCTCATCAAGGTAACCTTCTCCCACCATTTAATTTTTAGCCCCTCCTCCACCCCGCTGCCTTGGCCACACCGACCCATGGGAGGCCTGTTTGGATCCAAACAGCAGATCAGGGAGGGCAATTGTGCAGGAATCACTCAGAGAATTCGCCACCTCTGTGTACAGCAATCTTAAAGGTTCAAAACCCAAAACCAACTTGATCTTCTCCCCAGTCAGCATTGCTGCAGCTCTTTATAACTTGCTTTTGGGTAAGAATGAACTTTATAGTCAACAAAAGGCTACACATTGTAATTTGTTGACCTGCTGAGCCTCTTCTTTCTCTTGCCCTCTTTGCAAGGTGCTCGAGGTGAGACCAGGAAACAGTTGGAAGATGCTCTCAAGCTTCCTCCAAAATTCTCCTGCTTGCATTCTGAAATAAAGAATCTGAAACAAGTGATGAAGGACACGCTGGGAATGGCCTCTGCCATATTTTATACCCCAGGTAGACACAGGACATACTGATAGGCTAAGATAAGCACTCTCCTTGTGAAAAAGTATACTTTAGCATACTTTTAAAGAGTGTACTTATTGCGGAAATAATATACTTTAAAAGAATATTCTTAAGTGCGACGATGAATGATTGTACAATGAAAATATACAATATGTAGTATTATAGTTTATATTTATATTAAATGCAATTAGTTAAACTTAAGAGTTTTGTTGACCCACTAAGTAGGAAATCTTTCAATTTTACATAATTCTATTGTCTTTGAAACATGCTACACTGCACTTAAACTATTAATTTATGGTTAACAAAAATATACTTTAATTTGTATTTAAATATTATTGTAATTACATTTGTTATCATGAAGTTACAATTTAATACATTCGAAATGTAATGCATATCAAATAATAAAATCAAATGTGCTTTAGTCAACATCAAAATACGTGTACTTTAAAGTAGAATAGGTTTAGGATTAGGGTTAGTTGCATGTAATTATGCTTAATTTATAGTCATTACTACATGTAACATGTAACAAGGAAACTGGAAAATAGTGGTACCAAATATAGCCTACTTTAAATTACAAGTAAGTGAACTTCTTTTTCGCAAGGGTCTTCTAGGGTGATGCTTCAATAACAGCAATGCAGTAGTTAAATCAGAATCACTTATTCTGGACTTCATTTTGATACTGCCTAATATAATATTGCAGGAAGTCATAGCATAGCTGCATGATTGTCATGTCCATAGCCCTGAAAAGTTTTATTTCCATATAGAGCAACAGTTGGGAGAAGCTTTTATCAACCAATCACTGGAGTTCTATGATGCCATGCCACAGAAGCTGACCAATGACAGCGATCTAAACGTGAAGCTCATCAATGAATGGGTAGCAGATAAGACAAACAAGAAAATCACCGAGTTAATTACAGAGGTGGATCCCTCCACTTCGTTTGTTCTGTTAAATGCCGTCTACTTTAATGGTGAGTAAAGTGACACTATTCCAGCTTCTGAATACTTTACCTATTTATTTTTTATGAGACTGTTAGTGTTTCTTTGTGCTTTACAGGTAAATGGAAGACAGTATTTGAGTCCACAAACAAACCGGATAAGTTCACTACATTTTCTGATCAGGCCAAAGATGTCCCGACTCTCTACAGCTCCAAATACAGCCTTCAAATGGGTTACTTCAAAAATTTAAAGGCTGAGGTAAGTATTGCAATGAACGCACAAGGGTCATTCTCAGGAAACGGTGCTATTTATGACCCTTTGACTTGATCATGATACTATTAACATGATACTGAACTTAATCACATTGTTTTATAGATTTACCTTGTTTGGTATATAATGCAAAATAATAACATTCTTTGCATTCACCATATTATTAAAAAAAGATCAGCTTGATCCACGTCATATTTCTTAGTGCTGTCAAATTGATTAATCGAGAAGTCTTTATCAGTGCCCCATGAAGCTCAATATTTCAGTGATTACATTTTCTCCGAAAATTTTAAGAAACAATATTTACTAGATACTAGAGTGGTATGCTGGAATGATATCTGCTAGTTAAGGCAGTTTTTACACTAATCGCCATATTGCTTTGTATAGTTTAATCATCAGCCACCTACAGATAAATAAAAAATGAAAAACAAATGAATACATTTAAGAATACAATTTAAATTATATAATTAAATTTTAAAACGAATAAACAAATAATAAAAATCTAAATAACAAAGGATTAAAAATAATTATTTAAATATTATTTTATGTTTATCATTATTTTTTTTAGAATAAATAATATTAATATAAACATAATATTCCTGAAAATATACAACAAGCATATGCACTGTATTTGTACAAATACAAACACATACAGTGCAGAACTATTTCTCCAGGTAGGAAAGTTCCCTCTTACAGGCAAAAACAGCCTGTACATACTGGTCCCGTCCACACCGTCAGAAAAGGACTTCTTATTGATGGAGAACAATATAAACTACAAAACTATTGAAGAAATGGTTTCCAAGATGAACAAAATGCCAATCCAAACTGCTGAGGTCACACTGCCTGTAATTAAACTGACTGAGATCACACCACTGGAGAAGTTACTGAGGAATCTGGGTAAGAATGACGCGTTATTTACTCTAAAATGCTGAGGCAAGCTAGAATGTAAAAATTCGGTCATTACTTACTCATCTTCATGTCATTCCAAACCTTTCAGTAGGAGACATTTTTAGAAATATACAGTTTTATTTTCCATACAACAAAAATATTATCAGAAAATTATGCACTACAGAATATCTTTGTGTGAGGAAAAGACAAAAATTTGACCTGACAAGTCGTTATTCACTGAAAATCTTCTAAAAAAAAATCGCTCACGTAAAGCTATGATCTGGCTTCAGATAACTTGGAATAGTGCAAGAATCAAATGGACCACTTTTATCATAGGTTTATGATTATTTGATGGTGCTTTGTAGTCCTTTGCGGAGCCTGACAACAATGAACTGTCATTGTATGGAAAAAGGAAGCATGTATAGCCTACTATAAAAGTTCTCATTTTGTATTCCATGAAAAAAAAAATGAGGATGAGTAAATCATGACAGAATTCTCCTAACCTCTCCTCTCCTCAGGTTTGTCAGATCTCTTCTTAAATCCTAACTTGTGCGGAATGTTTCCGGGTGAATCTGAATCATTCATCTCAGATGTTCGTCATAGTGCTTCTCTCTCGCTCACGGAGAAGGGAGTGGAGGCCGCCGCAGCCACAAGCATTTCTTTTTCTCGCTCCTCCTCTTCATTCTCGGCTTTACAGCCCTTCATTCTGGTGCTGTGGGACGATGAGGCTGCCATTCCTCTTTTCATGGGAAGAATTATTGATCCATAAAAAAAGAGAGAGAGAAAGACATCACAGTAGTGTTCTGCCGCAAAAAAATAAATACTGAAACTTTCTGTTGTACATTCATTCATTTATCACAAACAAATGCAAATGTAACAATATCATGTTATGCATAGAATAAGAATGCATGCAGAATCTCTGTCATTAAAGATGTACTTTACATCATGCATTCGTGGGTTAATACTGTTCACTCTATTTGGAACATTTTCCATTACATGACAAGAAATCCATGGCATGAATGAAAGGTGTAAGGTTCTAGGACTCAAACGCACACAACTCGCTCTCATTTCCAACAGCCACTGTTGCACCAATTTATTTCTGAGACGCAGTTACAGAGACGGACACACGATGGCAGTCACATCACAAGTTCCACACAGACAGTCGATGAGGAAAAGTGAGTGTGACTTGAATAATCGTCCTTCAGTTTGACCTCGTTCATTAACGCTCCGCCTGGAGTCCCATCTTGGCTGGCAGGTGGTGCCAGTCCATTATCTAAATGCCATGCGGTTTCATCAAAGGTAGCCTAGATTGTCCCAGTGCACTGAGCAAAAACAAATACCCTTAGATGGGCTCGATGATGGATATTAGGACAAACATAAGCACTGCAGATTGGTGGTTCATCAAAGCATATGTGACATTCACTTGGCATGCAGCTGCTTATAATAACATTTGATAATTATACACCGTTTAGGCCATTCATTTGATAACCCGCTTGTTAAAAAAAAGCAGACCCCCAGGTCAGGAATGGCGGAGAGAGCCATGGAAGGACAGAATTAAGTTGTTCTGCAATTAAATGTCAAGACCAGATGAAAAGTAGATTCAGGTAGGTGGCAAATGATTTGAATCTAATAGCTAATAAATGCAATCACAGGGATACAATTACAGCCGAATTCCCACGCAATGGCAAGAAACGTGCATCGTTTCACAGAGCTGATGGACTACAAAGCAAGTGTATCCTTTAATTGCTTAACTTTTTGTGTTCTGACTCTTTTGTAGACATCCTTCGACAGGTATTTTGTCCATCAAAGGCTTTGTTTGATTGCTCATTTAACCCCTAATGGGGTGTGCAGTTGTGCAGGAGGCCTGCCAGCGGCGATTCACTCTCCGTACTGGAACTGTCCTGGCAGTTAGACCTCTAAACCAGTAGAGGACGCCGGAGAGAAAGCGAGAAAGTCTGCATCAGCGAATCTTTTTTTGTAGGAGACTGTACAAACATTCAACAGAGTTACGTACAAAGACAAAAACATAGACTGGGGTCATTCACACACACACACACACACACACACACACACACACACACACACACACACACACACACACACGCACCAACAGGCACACACATTCGCGTTGTGCAGATCGTTGAGGTGACTGTCGTTTAGATCTGCGGCGGCAGTTCTTGAGTGATCGTTTAAATCCAGAGATTTTCTTTCATTGCATTAAAGGTCCCTTGTGCTTTTCCTGTGCATCTTGTTTTTGGCGGGCTGGAAGAGACTGTAAACTTTCATACGTAACAAATCACAAAAGGTAAATACATAGATACACATAGACATTTACAGTCAGCTGGATGTGTTGTGCTTTGACAGTGTGCAAAATTACGGCACCACCAACTGTAACAAACACCAGGATGCTATTACACGTTTTACATGTAATAAACAATAACACTATAATATGGCATGAGCCCCTGTGGCATAGTCACAACACAGTACGATTTCACATAAGTGACGTATAGACCAGAAAAAGGGGTCGATTCTTTGTGCGTCACAATCCAGGTTTGTGATCACACTTGCTTCTTTCTCATCACAAAAGAATGTGATACTTAGCTGTACAATAGATTATTTTGCTTTTTCTCACGCATTAATATTGAATGTCATCATCATCAGACAGAGCATTATTGCATGTATTTATCATTATTACTTCATTGTTTTTGTATTACTTATCGGGGAATTGTCTCCTTGTCTGTGTTAGTCACTGCTAGCGGCTCCTTGTTGTGTCAGTGTGTGCCAGTATTCCACTTTCTTTCCTTTGTATTTTAGACACTCAAACCACTGTTTCAGTCTGTCTCCTTTTGCGTTGATCCCCAATTCAACTCCACCTGAGAAAGAGAGAGAGAGAGAGAGAGAGAGAGAGAGAGAGAGAACAATAAGATACCAAACCTATCTATCTATCCATCTAAAAATCGATCTATTGTTCTTTTAATTAATTTATAAATATATTATTAACATTATTATTATTATAGTTAATTAAAGTTAAAACCATAAAAAACATTTTCGTTACTTTAAATAAAATAAATCAACTGAAATAAAACATTTTCAGCTAGTTACCAACATTTTTCATTTTCATTTATTATAACTTAGAAGTACAAAAATAACTCAAATGAATATATACAAAATTAATAAAAAAAATGTATGGACATATTGTAAAAATATTAATAATGACAAAACCACAACAAATGGACAAAAACTAAATAAATTACAGTAAAAACAGAAAATACAAATTTAATAGTATAGTATAATAGTATCAATGACACTAAAGGTTTTTTTGATACTAGAAGTTTTTTCTCCCTGGTTATTATTGGTATTTTTGGTAACTTAATATGTATCCGACATTTAATTCAACGTAAACTCTTGTACGTCTCGGGCTGCCCTGACACAAGAAGGAAAGACTAAGGATATTATTTAAAATAGTTTAAATCAAAAATATTTTGATACCTAGTGTACTTTTTATATTCTAATAAATTAAATAATTTTGCTTGTGAATATCCTTGTATCTCTTTATTAAAGCTGCAGTCCGTAGTTTTTCCTCTTTGTCGCCATCTCTGTTCGAAATCTGCAATTGCAGTTATTCGCGGAATTATAATCTTTACGTGGGTTGTAACTCGGCACGGCACAGCTGGGATGAATCCAATGTTTGAGGAGAGCGTGCGGCTGTCTATCACCGCGCCGGGGTGATACTGTCATTCGGAATCACAGATTCTACTTTTTGGAAGTATGACCAACATAAGAATTTTCACCGGAAAATGTAATCTGAACAAGTAACATCCACTTTTGTTCTGACCAACTAAGGGGAAAAAAGCATTGCAGTAAATCGCGCTGATTAAATCTAACGATCGCTTATCATATCACGTCAAACCGTGCAAATTTGTTTTCAAATTGTTAATGTTAACAACATTAGCATTGCGTGATTACATTTAAAGCCCTTCAGATATTTATCCTTGTTTTCGCTTGGGCCGGTTGCAGTCTCTTTTCTGTAGCCACTCCGAAGTCCAAAGTCTTTTGCATTGTACACCGATTGAATCTCCAGTTGTCACTGTTGATTGTCGTTTGAACCTTTCTGGATCCGCCATCAAATTGATAAGTTTAATTATATCAAGTGCTGTGAGAAAAGGCTATAAATCTCCACCTTCAGCATCCTCACACTCATATCATAGCCTACTAGCCGAGACTCCTTCTTTATGTGTACAGATGTGACGTAATGACGCAAAGACATGCTCGAATTTCCCGCGGAAATCCACCAGTACCAGTGGAATTAAAAACATTATTACAAGCTTACCGTTTTGAATCGAGCTAAGACAAGGAGATGGTTTTGAACACTGGCTGGTTATGTATTTGCTCAAAATTTTATTTTGGATAATTTTTAACCCAAAAAAGTTACGGACTGCAGCTTTAAGTAAAAACACATTGTTTGACACCTTTTTTATTGCTAGTATGTGCTCCTTGGGAAAAAAAGTAAGCATCAAGCCCAGTAAACACATACATATATATATATATATATATACACACACACACACGCTTCACATTTGTTGTAGTTTGACTGTGGCTCTCTTGGCTTCTGAATTTGAGTACCTTTGTTCTAGACACTTCAGCGTGTCTCCCAGTCTAATACCTGAACTCGCTCTGAAATTGCATGTGAATGTGTCTGTGGACACAAGCTGCGTTTCATTTCATCAGGCCCCTCACGTACTGAGATTTTGCCCCGCTTCGATCACTCCTACACAAACACACACACCTCGCATCAATACCGCATGTTCATGGCCACGAGCAAGTCATGACAAATGAACCCTACATGCATGACATCCCCGCCATGGGGAATGAAAGAAAAAGAAAGGAAATAGACAGGAGCGGGTAAAAAAAAGTTCCAAGAAAATGTTAAATAAATTCGAAGCTTCATTGCACATGTCAATCCGAGACCTGCGTCCTCCATGTGCATTCATGCCTGGATGTCTCTCACAAGCCTCCTCACATACCCCCTGGTCCACCATCCACTTTCACTGTATGGAAAGTGGACATTCCTGCTAAACTCCTTTGATGCTCCATGAAAAGTCATACAGGTTTAGATCTTTTCTTATTCTGCTTAAATGAGAGACATACAAGCTGTAACATTAAGTTATACAAGAGCAAAGAATCACAACAGCCACATCTTAAAGGAAAGATCCACATCAAAATAAGTTAAGCTCCATCCAAGGCATCTGTGGCAATTTTGACAATACCAGAGACAATAATTTGACTTGATGCTCGGTTTGCATTTACATACACACAAACTAACTTAACGGAAATTAATCAATGCTGAACTTACTTAAACTGGACAATGATTTTCTTCTAGTTCTGCTGTTCAGCCAAAAAAATCTTTGTTGCTTTAATTTCCTGTTATCATTGTAAAGCAGCTTTGAAAAAATCTTAATTGTAAAAAGCGCTATATAAATAAAAGTGACTTGACACACACACACACACACACACACACACACATATATTTGTGATTTCATTCGATTAAAAAAATTAATCGCAGATTTTTCAGTACATAATCATGATTAATCGCACTTAACAAAGTTATTACTATATTTTTTATTGTAATTTCACATTTAATCTCCAAATTATTGTAGAAACAACATAAAGACAGAGCCTACATTTTAAATATTTGTTTAATGGCATCTTTTTATGAAAGAAGGCATCAATACTGTACATCAATAATATCAATATACCAATACTGCTACTGATGTCTAGATGAAATTGAGTTTTCCCCCTCTCAATATTAGACATTAATTATAGCCATTCAGCATTACATTATCATTGAACGCAATACATTTGAACATTTATTAGCCTTTAAAAATAATAACAACTTAATGAACTAACTAATGAACAATCTTCACATCAACTCATTATAATAAATGTCACATTTACCTGTGCCCTTCAATATATCAGGGCTAAAAAGGCCTAGTCAGGCCAGTTCAGATTTTTAATTGCCCCGCAACAACTTTAAAGGTGAACATATATTCTTTCATATAAACGGGTGTTATTTGAATGGTAAGGTTTTTTCATCATCCTTTCAGCATTTTTCTTCATGTACGTAAACAATTGTTTCTGTTCTACTTAAGTCAACAAACATATTTTTGCTTGTAAAACTCACCTATGAAGTCATTGCTCATGCCCAGGTCATAGTCCCAGACTGAGATCTCCAGGGTTTTCTTGGCGAGCTGATCATGTGGGACTTCATAGGAAAACTCCTGGGTTGAAGAGGACAATAATCAGTTTTGGCAGAGGGAAACATCACAACATCTATATTCACATAGAGTGAAGGTGTGGTCACATTCAGCTTTCAGCATACAAAGTTATGAGCAACAAGATATGGGGCCCTATGTTATTGATCTAAGCGCATGGTCTAAAGCACACGGCGCAAGTGCACTTAGGGCGTGTCCGAATCCACTTTTGCTAGTTTAATGACGGGAAAAATGGTCGGCGTGCCCGGCGCATGGTCTGAAAGGGTTGTCCCCATTCTCTTAATGAGTAATTTGCTATTTACATGGATGGAATTTGATAGTGGAAAGACAGAACTGCAGAGCGCAAACGGATCTGCTCGTGCGCAAGGTTAAAGCGTGCGAGCGGACCATCTACGGGACAAGCCGGATTCCACCATATCTTTATGTACACAATAATAATCTTTTACATTGTAATCCTTTTATTTTTAATATTTGGCATGTTTGTGTGCTTCTGCACCCTGTGTGTGTAATAAGCAGAGTGTACTCGCTTTGTGGACCCGCCTATAGGCGCACATTACTAACGCGCTCTTTAAATAACAAAACAGCCACATCTTAAAGGAAAGATCCACATCAAAATAAGTTGAGCTCCGTCCAAGGCATCTGTGACATTTTGACGTGAAAATGATAACTGTGTCGGGCTGAAACTAGTAAAACACATTCGCGTCGCGCCTGGCGCTGTATTGCGCCGGGTGTATGATAGGGCCCATGATGTCACATTCTAGGGCTTCTGTTTTTAAATAAATCAGAAAATATAAGTAACAAAACATAATAAATTACAAATGGTCATATATAGCAGCTACTCTACTTTGCAACAAAATTGCAAACCACACTGAAGTTTTTATTAAGTTATGTTTTGAGTCAAGAGATCAATCTATGACTATACAAATTCATGTCAAAAGTTCATCAAACTTGAATTTGGTATGCAGCCAATGAAGAAACTTGTGCTTGCATTTCCACTCACCCACGTTCACATGAATATGAATGTAATTGAATAGAACAGAAAGTCGAAAGTGACTAAAGGGCTGCATGGCTACGACAATATCCTAATTGTGAAGTATTTTCCCCTGATAATTTAATTCCGATCGTTTGATTAAAAAGACAAATCAAGGCTAATTTAAACTTGCTCATTAGACCTATAGAATCTATTGAATTTAAATGCCTCTCATTTGCCACTGCATTCGCCTGTGACTCGTTGCAATGCTCAACTGCTGCAAAAAAGAAATGATAATAATAATAATAATAAAATTGGTTCATCAGAAGTAAAATGTAAACGGAAAGGAATCAGCTTTTTTCATGATTAATCAATACAGCTTTGTGTGACTACACCTTTAATGGGAATAGCTGACCTCGTTAAACTCTGGGTTTAGAGTCTTCTTCTTCACTGAGGTTTTGTATTTTGACTTTTTTCCCATGTCAGGCTGCAAAATACTGATAAAGAGAAATAACCAGAAATAAATCATTGCTCTGCAGTGAGAATTGTATAACTTCTAAAACATCAAAGCAAATCATTAGCCTGGTTTGTCTAAAGCTCTCGAAACATCCACGACACAATCTAAACAGAAGAAAAAAACACAGGCAAGGGTGTAAGAGCTCATTTTAGAGAATGACACATTTTAGAAAGAGAGAGAGCAGAGAGAGAGAGAGAGACCTTGTAGAGTCAGGTAGTGATGGTAGGGTGTTGTTTTTGATTATTCATTCAATCCATTACAGACTGGGAGATGATAATCTCTAATTGAGGATGGATGGAATGAATGGATTGAGAGGGTGTCGGAGGACAGATGATGCATCCATAAGGTCTGTGGCTCATGGAGTCATCAGTGGATTATCAATCAAAACGTATCATTTATTATTCATGGAGATATCAAGCTACACAACATGCTACAGAGGAGACAGATAGAGAGACATATGTGAGGTGAAAAAACGCATGGGGATATGATGCAAGAGACACATTGCCATCTAAATGACGAGTTGTGAAACATGCCTCCGAACCAAAGCAGTTACAAAGTACAGTTGAATATATCTAAACAGCACTTAAAGGTTGAACAACAAGATTCACTGAGAAAAATTCTGGTGTGTATTTGCACATGACATCTGCATTGTTAGAGGCAGATTAAGTAAATTAAATAAATAAATAAATCAGGCAACTGCAATTCAATTCAATTCGCTCTAGAAAATGACGAAAGCACATTTGTCTAAACCGTACGTCTGGATAATGCTGGCTGTTGTGCTTCTCAGAGATCCACTCGGTCAACTTTTACTCAAGTTACTGTAGTAAACGCTGCACAAAGGTATTGCTCTTTACAACATCTATTAATTGGTCTATTAATTTTTTATTGACATGTCCCATAATAATTGTTGGATATTAATTGGTCTATACAGACTCAGATTTAAATTCACTAAATTTGTGGATGTTTTCCCGGACCCCAGGCCTAATGAATAGACATAACGCTAATTAATATGATTAGCCTTTTGCTTGACTATATTATCAAACAGCTAATAATGTGTTGCTAATGTTGCAAACCATGTTCCTATTTGCCATCTCAGTCTGCCCCTTTATAAATCAGCATCCTTAGAAACACTTTGAACATCATAGATCGTCAGTGGAAAAAAGGCATATGGTTCATCATAACATCATAATGTACATCATATACATAATTCACTGCGCTACGTATATTGCTAAATGTACCCGACTTTTCATATCAACAGAAAAATATACCGGGAAACCCTGGCTTCTCTTGAGACTCCGAGTTAAAAGCCCGCCCACACATTGACGTGATTGGTTACAAGGTTTGTGACGTAAGGAACCGCATTTTTGAGAATATACTCAGCAGCAATGGTGTTGACTTATGAATTTGACTTATTGGTTCGCCTTAAAGCATATTAAAAACACCAAATAGACATATAAACAACATTAAAAACTTGATTTTCACCACAGGGGGTCTTTAAATAATGCAACATTAACGGTGTTATACAAACAGCATTGAATTTTGTGAATAATATATATCAGAAAATATCTAATCATATATTATATTATATTCACATTTGCTGAATTCGGAAGCACATCCCTACAACCTATTCTTTCTATTTCTGCCATATTCTGCTATATTGTAGTAAGAGTACTATGCTAGTATGTTTTTTCAGCAATATAGACAGAAATAATGTGTTCACAATTCACATCCTAATTCCCTATTGCATCATTGGATTGAAGAAGATGCATCTTTGGATTGAAAGTATTGTGCATGTGCAGTTACGACAAAATGAACGAATTCTTCTGAGACAACTCGTTATTCTCAATTCATATAAAAGATTAATCTAAATGAACAAATCATTCTTGAACGACTCTCACTACACAACTGTGCATTGCTCAGAGATGTGCAATGGTTCTGTAACTATTGCGTCTTAAATTAATATCTTAATATCAACCTAAAAGCAATACAATTAAAAGCAATATCACAGTTACAATCGCGTTGGATGTTTCCATTATAATGACAACTGGACAATATTGACGGATTATCATTTAACACTGAGTGTGTTTGGTGCCAGAAATGATTAACCACTGGATGTTAACCAATAGACTAATGACTCACTATTGAAACGATTAATAGATGCTTGAACGGTAATTCAATATAAAATTAGCCAATCTTTAGATATTAATTGACTGATTTGCTGGTACATGTCTGGATATCAATCAGAAATTAATCAGTAACTTTCACCTAATGACTTTTAGTAAGAATATTAATGATGTTTTATTTCTGTGTGACAAGTTTTATGTCACTGACAGGATGATTTTGCATCTCTAATGGCTTTTTGATGTGATCCTATTAATTTTTTATTGACATGTCCCATAATAATTGTTGGATATTAATTGGTCTATACAGACTCAGATTTAAATTCACTAAATTTGTGGATGTGTTCCTGAACCTCAGGCCTAATGAATAGACTACACTATAGAGGACCTTATTGGGGACCACTTCTCACAGGGAAAGTTGTGATAAAGATATCATTGATTTATCATAGTGTGAAAGAGTTATAGAGTGGATAAACTTGAAGGCAAAACTAACTGATGGTGATGGTAAACATGCTAATGTTAGATGTTATTACATTAAACATAAGCCACTGTCCTTCTAAAGAAGAGCTGCAGGAAATTTCATTCTAGACACCATGGAGCTCACTTCAGATCTAACCCTAAGGAGACAACTGTCGTCATCTGATAATTATAAGAATAACTGTCATCTTAGAAGAGCTTGTCCACAATGACCAACGTCAATCCTGGATGAAAGAAGGAATTTAGCACGGGCAATATGTTTACGCCTACAACGAGACAGTCTTGAGTATTTGAAGTCATTGTGTAGTGAGAGCAAATTCAGAGCAATAAGAATGACATTTTCAATATGTGAACCCCCTGTCTGTTTAGTCCTAGTCTAACAGACTTACATTATTTCTTGAAGCAAGTTCAGTTCATAACAGGCATGGTGAAACATGAAAAAAAAAAAACATTTGATTTACTATTTACATATTAAAGCTGAAGTGTGTCATTTGTAATTAGTGCAAGCAGCATTAAATTAGTGCGTGTAATTATCATTCCTGTAGCAACAGTAGCAAAGCCAAGGTCATGGGTTTGACTCCATGGGCCAATGCATGCACTTATTACATTTACATTTATGTATTTGGTAGACGCTTTTATCCAAAGCGACTTAGATTGCATTTCAAGGTACTCCATATACATCAGATCTTGCTTTCCCTGGGAATCGAACCCATGACCTTGGCGTTGCAAGCGCCAACACTCTACTGTTTGAGCTACAGGAAAGCTTGTAAAATGTATATCTTAAAATGTAATGCAACTTGTTTTTGCTTCTGCCAAATGCATAAATATAAAGGTAATTTATGTGTCCACCGAATGGAATTGTGTACAAGTTTGCCTACTGTCCTACTATATTTAAAAAAAAAAAATCCTGATATGATATCCAAATACAAATTAGAATACACATGAAAATTTTCTGAATGACCTACCACTAGCACCCAGATTTTGAAGTGTATATCCAAAGGAAATTTTACTCTCCGATAAGGCAATGGGGGAGTCATCATATTTATAAATGGTGGGGAACAATGATGCAGATGATGGTCACATTACAATTAATGGTCACATCACATGACAATGCCAACAGGAAGTAAGTACTGTAGGATGTAGTATGTCCATATTGAATTTATACTACACACAAATTAAATTTAACATTCAATTTAATATTCTACAATAATATTAATCTGCCTGCATTGACACCATTATATGAGAACTGAACTGAGCTGGACGAAGACATCACGGTTTTCTCCAGAGAAGCTATAAATATATATATATATAAATTAACAAAATTAATAACTTTTTTACAACAAAAATGAAACATCACAGAACTTACTTAAGCTGGACTGTGACGCTATTTTCTTCTGGAATCAAACTTTGTTGCATTATTTTCCTGTTCTCTCTGTAAAGCTGCTTTGAAACGATCTGTATTGTAAAAAGCGCTATATAAATAAATGTGACTTACTTGACTTGACATGCATAATAATTACCAAAAATACAAAATGTCACTACTGTTCCAAAGTTTAGGGTGGGTAAGATTTTTTTAAATGTTATTGAAAGAAGGCACTTATGCTCACCAAGACTGCATTTATTTGATCAAAAATACAGTAAAAACTATTTTAACAATTCTTTATTACAATAAAAAAAAAAATTCGAATTAAATATCATTTAAAATGGTTTACAAATAAATATAGCATTTTTCAGCATCATTCCTCCAGTCTTCAGTGTCAAGCCAAGTCTTTACTGAAATTTTTGATCAATTTAATTTATCCTTGCAGAATAAAAAGTATACATTTCTTAAAAAAAAAAAATCTTACTGAGCCCCAAATTTTGAATAGTGCAATTCTCAATAATGATTGTTTAATAAATGAAGTACATAATATTCCAACCATGTTGGATGCATTAATCAAACTGGCAGTCCTGCCCCTAACTCGTGCCATTGCTTTAGCCGATGTTGCTGTTGGGATGCTTAGATTGATGAAACAAACAGAAATGTTCTGAAAGCAGAACAATGTTGACATTTTTCCTAGAAATCAACATGCTACAGTTGACTCTGCATATTAAACTGAGATAGGAAGGTATTTTAACATTCAGAAAATTACACACTTCAGCTTAAATGTGCACCTGCATCCATGTATCTGTGAATTAGTCACTAATTACATTTTGACTTAATCGTTTCTGCAATTAGTGAAAAAGGCACATTCAAGTCTGTGCACGACAACAAGCGTCTGAATAAACATTCGAATGTGAGCTTAAATGTCTCGCCGTCACAAGTTCAAATGAAAGAGGAACTATTGAAATTGTGTCCCGTGTAATGACATTAATTAGAGCATGTGCAATAATATCTGCATTCCCTTGTCTGTTCTAATTATGTGGTGATGCCGAGGGCCAGATGAAAATAGAGCTGAACTCTACAGGGCCTCATTCATAATCATTGCATACACACACATACACGCGTGCACACAAACTGAAAAGTGGGGGCATATCTAAATCTCATCAGCCTAACTACACATTAGAAACATCATCAGTTTTAAATGCCTAGTTGCTACGGATACACTCATGTGATAAAGTAAACTTTCCAGAAACAGCATTGTAGAGGCAGATATGTGAAGATAAAAAAGCAAAAAAAGCAAAAAGAAGCTCTTCTTCTCTGCTGTTGTTCATGTCTTTGCTCCTCAGGAAGTTTACTTTCTGTCAGCAGCTCAGCGCAACTCTGCCAGGCGTACTTGAGTCATGAATATTAATTATTTTATGTGATGTTCACCCTAACTGATTTGCCGAAAGGCAGACGTTCATGAATGCTAGCCTCAGCTGGATTACCGTTTACCGTTGGTGTGTTTGTTCACTATAAAAGCAGCCAAGTGACAGAGGCTTCTGCAACATTAGATGCGAATTTACCCTATTTACTTTTTTAATAAACATTCCTGTTCTATTTACTGGTGCATGTTATTCAAAGTAAAAAAAATGCGTAATCTTTAAACAAGACTGCTTCTGAAACATCTTTCCATTTTGGCTAATGTCAACAAACTAGAATTTCTAATAACCTGTCATGAAGGGATCATGATTTAATTAAGTGTCATAGAATATTCTGCTTTTCAAGGAAATGCATCACATAATGGATGTAAAATGGTTTGCAAATATGTTTCATCAACTTTTGAGTTATCATTTTACTCTTTTTTTTCCCCATCTTTGCAGCCTAAGAAAATAAACCTCTTTAAAGTATAATCATTATCAGATAATCTCCCAAAAAGGGTATTTGTGCAAAACTGTTTTCCTCTGCACACACATAATCTTCTGCTGAAGGGATAGTACTCCCAAAAATTCTGTCATTAATTCTCACCCTCATGTCGTTCCAAACCTGTAAGACTTTCATACATCTTCGGAACACAAATGAAGATCTTTTTGATGAAATCTGAGAGATTTCTGTCCCTCCATTGACAGCTACGCAACTGATACTTTGATGCTTCAAAAAGTTCATAAAGAGATCGTAAAACAGATCCATATGAATTGAGCGGTTTTGTCCAAATTTTCTTAAGAGACTCGATCACTTTATATGATCGCTTTTATTCACATAGAAACATTCATCAACTCACATATCAGTTGTGGTAAACAGAAGCTCAAGCATGTTTGCTTGAATAAGAGAACCAATGAGGTTCATTCTCGTGTTACGCAGCACGTTTGAGCTTCCTCAAGAACCAATGAGGTTTGTTCTCGCGCACCAAGCAGGTTCGGTTGAGCTTCTGTTTATGTTCGCTGATCAATGTTTATATGTGAATAAAGGCCTAAATTTAATCTATTCATCATATATAGTGATCGAGTCTCTTCAGAAAATTTGGAATAAACAGCTCAATTCATATGGATTAGTTTTACGATCTCTTTATGAACGCTTTGAAGCGTCATAGTGGTAGTTCTGTAGCTGTCAATGGAGGGACAGAAATCTCTCAGATTTCATCAAAAAGATCTTCATTTGTGTTCCAAGATGAACGAATGTCTTACATGTTTGGAACGACATGAGGGTGAGTAATTAATGACAGAATTTTCCTCTTTGGGTGAACTTGAATTAATCAATGATTGCTTTAAAATTCATTTTATTGAACAGAAAGGCTACGTCTACAAATAAGTCGCTTGGTTAATTACATTTGAAATGTTTCAAATACAATTCAGATATAGAAATTTCTTTCCTGAATTTCTCTGAAAATGTCTGTAGCCTTGCCTTAGCTACACATTGATTAAATGGTCTTCCTTCTAGCAACCTGGATATGGTGATTACATTCACATACTGAGAGCATAGAGAGAGAGAGAGAGAGAGAGAGAGAGAGAGAGAGAGAGAGAGAGAGAGAGAGAGAGAGAGGTTTGAGTAAGCTTCCCTGCCTTAAGCTTCTTCTGTTAAAACCAGACACTGTTGTCTGAGAAAAACATCTCAACAGAGAAAAACAAAACATGTGAACGTCAATAGCAGCCACCCTCCAAATCTAGAGATTTCGTTTCTCTTCCCTCCTACGGAATGACTACAGTATTGATTGGCCCCCAGTCCCCTCTACACTTAATCCCTACTTGTGTCCAGTTCCATGTTCCCTCTATTACAGTATAAGCCAGTCCAGGACTCAACAATAACGATGGTCTGCTGACCTGGGGCCAGTCTGAGAGAGTTAGCTGACTGACGCTGATGAAGTTGAGATGACACTGAGAGAATGACTTAACTGAGAAGCGTCTGTTAAAATGTGTTAAAGTCCCCCTGGTGGAAATCAAGATTTTAATGTTGTGTAAATGTCTATGCGGTGTTTTTAATATGCTTTAAGACAAGCCATGTACAAATTCATCAGTCAACACCATTGCTGAGTATTTTCTCCTTAAAACTGCAGTGAACCAAAGACAGTCTCAAAAAACGCGGTTTGAAAACGCTGATGTTTCTGACGTCACAAACTACCTTGTAACCAATCACGTCAACGTGTGATCCTCAACGAGTGGATCTCTGAGCTGGAGGCGGGGTTAATTAGCATATTTATAGATTCATTTAAATATGTAATTTTGGTGATCAAAGATGAGTTTTAAGGGATACAATTATAGACTACAGGAGGACTTTAAAAATTACAAACCAATTAGTAATAGTAATAATATTTTTTTGTAACTGTAATTGTTTTTCATAACTGTAATTTTATAATTTCATTTATAAAATTATAAATATTAAAAAAAACTATAAAAAATCATAAAACATTTTAAAACATGAATTTATAGCTGTCATATACAATAATTTCCAGATAATTATTATTTATATTTTTATATAAAAAATATATTTTTATGTTTTTATAATTGTTTTTCAAAAGGAATATGGTTAGTAAAAATATAAATATAAATCATGTAAACATAAAAATACATAATTTATCTAAACTAGAAATATCTAAACAAAAAACAAATCTTTATTGTTAAGCCTTACTGACCCGTTTCATAATTATATACATTATAGAAATTAGCTAATTAGTGATACTGAAAACACTTGTTATTCACATTATTGATGTATTCCAATTATGGCATGTTATGTTAGTTTTCCAGAATCCATTTAATAATTACAATTAAAGCCTTTATTGCTATTAAAAAGACTAGAGTGACTGATGCAGAAAATCCAGTCTAATAAAACGACAGTGCTGCTTCAATAAATTCAAGCTAAATCCGGCCATAACTGGAATCAACGTCAGCGGACAAAAAGACAAATAACATCTGGTCCAGCGGTCACAATGCACAAACAACCCAGCATCCAAACAAGCCTCTGCCATACTGTCATACATGTCAGGAGAGAAAGAGTCAAAATCTCCACCTTATCCTAAACTATATTGACAAGTCTAGTCCTAAACAAGCGCTAAAGCACCTGTCACACACAAATGCACACGCACACTCCCAGCAGTCTATCCTGCTGTATAAAAGCAGTCCACTCTCCAACAATAGATTTCCAATGCTCTAGTGAGCCCATCAGTGCCTGTAACTGGCATGATAAACAAGGAAATCCTATCTCCTCAGAGCAGATAGCGGAAAAAACCTCCTCTCCATCACACTACGCATCAAAATACATCCATGATAAGAATGAACAGGACCCCATCGACAGGAAAAGAGTGGTCCAAGATTTATGCATGCTTTATCAGACTTGAGAGGAGAGAGAGAGAGCGAGGGATGGAGAGAGTCGAGAAGAAGAGGTATGGCAAATGATAAAAGAGCATTGCTGTGATGGGAAGCCGAGGGTGGGAAGCTAAAGCTGAGAGAGGACGATTAAAAACAGGAGAAGCAAAGATCCAGGTTTTTTTGGGGGACTTTCCGCTTGCCTCTTGACTCTGTTTCCTTCTCTATGCCCCATTAATTCTCTCAGCCTCCAAATAGAATCTTATTGTGTGGGTGGACTTTGAATTATTCTTCGCAAGAACCCACAGGGGGATAAATTATGATCAACCGGAGGTACAGAGAGAAATAAATCACCCTGAAATGAAATCCATGATGCTAACTAGGAGGAGGGCGATGCCAATGAATTGAGTCATAACGCAGTTACACATACTTGCGTTCGTCTGATGCTGTGCTATGCGATGATTCAAGGAAGGATGAAACAAAATTGTGCTTGTTAAAACTTGCTTTTTGGATTGTAATAAATGTGCAAATTAAATAAAGGCTGTGAAAATGATAATCATGTCCACCGGTGACTCACTACAGGAGCCTTGGGGATTGTGCTAATTTGCTTTAACTCTATTTGAACAACATTGGTGCTTTGAGGTACTGATTACTACATTAGCTTCACTCGTGTGGGGTTGTAGGCTCAGATCATCACACAAAGACCACGGGTCTCATCTCAAAAACAACAAAACAACACATAAAGACAGTCCGTTTGATGATCTGATGCATATTGCGCCCAAAGCTGGAAAGCCCTTTTTTAAAATCTGGTTTAATCTGATTGGCTGCTTTTTTATGCAACTTTCACAATGCCAAAATAGGCATTTGGACTAAAAGCTTCCACTTTATTTTTGGCCTAGAGGGAAGTGTAACCCCATCCAACTCTTTGATCAATTCCTGTCACTTTGCCACTGTCCATTCTGAAAAAACTCACATTTTGACAAAGGGGTCTGAGTAGCCATTCGAATCCATGGCGGCCAGGTGGGCACAGCGAATAATTCCCACAACCAGAGAACTCTTCTCTGTGCAGTACAGCAGAGAGACCAGGATACGGCCACGCTAGAGAAACAGAGAAAGAGATAGACAGTCTGCAGTCGGCTTGTTTCCACTGATCAATATTCAGACCATCAATAATAAATTAAACATTATATGTCTGTTTTAATGGTTCTAAACTAATGATGACAGAAAAAAAATGTATTGTACACAGATGGAGTAACAAAATGTGTGTAAAATGAAATGATAAAAAAGTTAATAAAAAGAACATTTTAGTGTGGAGTAAAGGATATATCGATATGGTGTTGATATACAGTAATTTAAGTTTTAAAAACTTCAGATATGGCAAGATATTTTTGAGTAACATTAAAGTATATACTTAAACCCCTTCAGTAAGAGATGAAAACAGCAGGCAAAAATTATAAGAATGTTGTCTCAAAAAACACTAACATTCAAAAGTTTGGGGTCAGTCAGATTTTTTTATTTAGATTTATTTTTTTATTTTATCTCAAATGTGACAGTAAGACATTTATAATGTCTAACTTATGAAATGTTATTTCTATTTGAAATAAATGCTGTTCCTTTGAACTTTCTATTCATCAAAGAATCCCGTAAAAAATGTAATCAGTTTCCAGAAAAATATTAGGCAGCAGAACTGTTTTCAACATTGATAATAAAAATAAATGTTTTTTCAGCATCAAAACATTATAGTAAGATGATTTCTGAAGGATCATGTGACACTGAAGATCGGAGTAATGATGCTGAAAATTCAGCTTTGCATCACAGGAACATGATTCATTTTACATACATTAAATTGAGAACAGTTTTTTTTAAATCATTGTAATATTCAAATAATTGCATCGAATGCAGGTGAGCATAAGAGGTCTACTTTTAAAAACATTAAAAAAAACTTACTGACTCCAAATTTTGAACAGTAGTGCAAGTATATACTTAATTAAACTGTCAGCAATTGATGTACAAATTATCGTTTGGCTTTTTATATCCTCTCATACTATATTTAGTAGGTGAACCCTGTACACAATATTAGTACAGGCAAAAATTATAGGAATTTTATCTTAAAATATACATATAATTAAAGAAATTCTCATTAGCGATATACATATATATGAACAATTTTAAAACTTATTTTAAAAGTAATTGCCTCACAATCAGCTATTTGCCACTGAATATGATAACCTCATGGAGCAGGACAGTTTATCAGTACAAAGAGACAAACAAGTGTTCAGGATAGTGCTTTGGTTAATTAGTAAATTTGAGATAATAAAAACCAGGCCCTTTTATCTCTTTATTCTCATTGTACCCTGATTGTGAGTGTTCTATATTCTGCTGCAGTTTCAGTGTAAATAGGGAGTGTGCAGAGGTCTCAAGTATGGGATGGAAATTATTGGATCTTTACCTCCTCTTCTGCAACAAGAGAACCAGGATCCACTGCCTGACTGTTAGCCTCCCGGGCCTGTAAGACCATAGAAAGGTTATTAATAATAGACTAAATACCCAAACACTAAATTATGCATTGTACAAATTCCAACGGACGTAACCTCACAACGGCCACAATGACTCACACACACACACCTGTGCAATTCTCTCAAGGCCCATATAGTATTTCTTGCTCTCTCCCTCCTTCAGTTTCTTGAGCGCCACCCTGACTTCACCTATGAACTCATTCCGTCCTAAACGATCCATATCACACACACACAGCCTGGAAAGAGAGAGAGACAGAGAGATATGGCACTCAGAACTCTTCAGCTCAACCTTCAAGGCAGAATGTGTTAAGCATGTTGCACGCACAGCCAGAGAGAAAGAGAATATCTCAAGAGAAGAGACTCTGAGCTGAGAAGAAGGTGGTATTGACTAGAGGTTGACCAAAATATCATTTTTGACCATTTCATTGGTGGTGATAAAAGATCAGATATCAGGAAAAAGTAACGCTTGTGTCAGTGACAAAATTAATTTAGATTCAAATGACTTCTGAATATGAATTGAGCAAATCTGCAAGACTAGACTGCTGTATAAAATGAGTCGCACCATTAATTTTGAAGCAGTTCCTGCATCGCTATTTAATGGCAGAGCTACTGATTTTACAGCAACAAGACTAAATAAATCTGAGTTGTGAGTTTGGCATCTAAATTAATCATAATAATTTAAAATCTGATCACTGAAAAAAAAAAAAAAATCTCGTCTTGTCTTGCTTGATGCATGTGTAGAAACAAATAGCAAAAACAGTGCAAGTGTAGTCTGATTCTGAGTCTATTTGATTCAATTCAGTTGACACTTATGAGCCATCTCTTTTAATGAATGAGTCAACTTTAATGAGTCAAAAGACTCCACAACTGCAGAGATTTATTTTGAATCTTTCAATCGAATCACTGAATCCACCAGATTGCTTACTGAATTAACATCCGACTCACTGAACCGCATCACAAATTTCATTCATGTCTGACTTGAAATTAACACAGTTGTGTGACTTTAATCCTCCATAGATGACATCATGAAATACGTGACATAAAAAAAATTAGTTAATGTATAAGATTAGATAAAATAGCTATATTAATTTTAAAAACTAAGTAAATCTGTTTCCCCCACCTTAGTTATTGGAATCGTCAAAATTTATTATCATTCAACCTCTAGTATTGACACTGAGAAAGAGGGAATTAAGGAAAAGAAACAACAATAACCAGAATTAGAAAAGAGGAATTTATAGTAAACAATGTAAGAAAAGACATTGTCAAGTCAAGTCACCTTCATTTATATAGCGCTTTTAACAATATGGACTGTTTCAAAGCAGCTTTACAGTGATAATAGGAAATTAAAGTAACAGAGATTGTTTTGGCTTTACAGCAGCTCTAGAATAAAGTTATTGTCCAGCTAAAATTAGTTTAGATCGATTCACTTCCGTTGCAAAGATCAGTAAGCAGATGACACTGACATCATGATCTTGTTGGATTCTTGCTTTCTGGATTAGTCATTCCTTCCAGCCAGGTGTGTACACATGCTAATACAAACACATGCACACACTCGTGTGGAGGTGGATAACAGGTGCTCTACACTTCCTGTTTATCATTCTTCCTGAAGCTGCTATGCATTAGTCACGGGGTTGAGCTTTTCCTTATTAATGTCAGTCACTGTGATTATGTCAAGAGTTTGCATGCATACGGAAGTCACCTACATGCAGGACATCCAGAAGACGTGTACTATTCAATGTTTATTCAGTATTGAACTGTGAGTCAGATGAGTCATGGGCAGGCCCACGCAAAATCTGTGCCGGCAGGATTTCGCAGAAAGCTCCACAGGTTTCTGCAGAATTTGACTGCTCGTCATTCAGAGTTTCTCACATGTTTAAGTATTTCATATGCTAATTTGATTAATGATATCAGCTACCAATTAAAACCCAGTACACTCATTGTCCTATTAAAGAGGACCTATTATGTAACTTTCTTTAGGGTATAATGTTGCTGTTTGAAGAATGTCTGCAATGTTACAAAACACAAAGTCACTCCAAAGGGAGTTATTCTCTATAACAATAAGCACTGTTTCTGAACTCCCTGAAACACTTCGATTGTAGTCTTAAGTTTTCTTCCATCACAATATAGCACATTTAAATAATTCCCTCCCAAGGCAAATGCAAAATTAAGGGGCCAAGGCCTGGTTGAGTTGCGTAAGTACTGTGCTGTCGCCATGTCCAAGAGAGTTTTTTTCCGCCTCGGACCTAGCACAGTTATGGTAAGGGCCGCAACATTCCAAAACATGCTGGAAGTATGTGCTAGTATAATATATGGATATTATATAATATATGGAAATATGTGCTGCACGGTTTGCTCTCAATAACAAAATAAAAACACGACAAAATTGAGAAAACGGCAAGCATTTTTTTTAATAAAGCATAAGAAAAGCATCTTATAGCAACGTGGTTTGCACGAGCTCTACAATTCAGCACTCTAGTTACGTCACGTTTATTTATATAGCACTTTATACAATAGCTTAAAATCAAGCAGCTTTACTGTATTAAACATGAAAAGTGTTTAGTGTCTAGTTTCTAGTGTCTAGTCTCAGTGTCTAGTTTCATCAGAAGTACAACCTCATTTTCTAATATGAAGCAGCTCTCTAGTGTGTTTATGTTTTCACTCTCGGACGTCTCACCTCAACCGACTGAACAGGAGAAATGAACCAGAAAAGTTTTCGACGTGAAAGAAGGCGGAGCCTCCACGCACACCTACTTATTACGTAATCGCCATGGAACAATTAAAGTACAAAGGTGTTTACCAGCTGCAGCGAACTTTTCCGGAAAGTTCGCTTTGGCAAGCTGTTTTGAACTCCCAAAATGAACTCCAAACGAAGTTTGTTTTGGCCTGATTTAGTTCGAAATGACGTCACATCAGTTAATTCTTTGATTTCTCTTAAAGGGCACCAATTATGCAAAATTCACTTTTACATGGTGTTTGAACATAAATGTGTGTTGGCAGTGTGTGTACACAACCACCCTATAACGATAAAAATCCACCCAGTGCTTTTTTTAAAATCCCCATAAATCATAAGCACCGTCTCAGAACAACCTGTTCTCAGATTCTGGGCAATGTGACAGACTTTTGCACAGGCCCCTCCCACGACTGTTGACGGACACTGCAGTTTGAGCATAGACCCGCCCTGAGTGAGCTGTACACAGTCCAACATTGTTTCGACACCGGAGCAGCTGTAGACAAGAATGTCTCCTAAGCGATTTGGGTGTTTTGTTGTTGGATGTAAGAATGAACATAGCAGTCGTCATTTACTCCCGTTGCTACTCGAGGATGGATCTGTACCAACTGTTTGTGATCCAGCTTAAAGGGTTAGTTCACCCCAAAATGAAAATTCTGTCAGTAATTACTCACCCTCATGTTGTTCCAACCCCGTAAGACTTTCGTTCATCTTCGGAACACAAAATAAGATATTTTTGATTAAATCTGAGAGCTGGATCACTCCTCCATAGGCTTCTTAAGGGATCGAAACTTGCCGGCAGAGAAAAGTTAAAGACATTGGATGACTACAGTGGATCAATCTTAAGTTTATCAAGCGACGAGAATACTTTTTGTGTGCAAAAAACAAACAAAAATAACGACTTTATTCAACTATTCATTTCCTTCTCTGTGGGCCTCGAGATTTCACGTAGTGGAACTGCGCAACGCTTCTGTGTTGTACGTCACACGTAGGCTCACTATTGGCCGACGCTGGTCATGTGTGTGATGCGTGTGACGTACAACCTAGAAGCGTTGCGCAGTTTCACTACGTGAAATCTCGAGGCCCACAGAGAAGGAAATGAATAGTTGAATAAAGTCGTTATTAGGGCCCAAGCCTTGAAAAGGCGAAGGCCCTATTGTTTTCCTAAGGATTATTATTAGGGCCCAAGCCTTGAAAAGGCGAAGGCCCTATTGTTTTCCTAAGGATTATTTATTATTAGGGCCCAAGCCTTGAAAAGGCGAAGGCCCTATTGTTTTCCTTAGGATTATTAGGGCCCAAGCCTTGAAAAGGCGAAGGCCCTATTGTTTTCCTTAGGATTATTAGGGCCCAAGCCCAAAGGGCGAAGGCCCTATTGTTTTCCTTAGGATTATTTATTATTAGGGCCCAAGCCTTGAAAAGGCGAAGGCCCTATTGTTTTCCTTAGGATTATTATTATTATTATTAGGGCCCAAGCCTTGAAAAGGCGAAGGCCCTATTGTTTTCCTTAGGATTATTATTATTATTATTATTTTTACGACTATTCGGGCACTTTTGGGGCCCTTAACGTGCTCAAAAACTCTTGAAACTTTGCACACATGTCAGAACCCGCGGCCATCAGAGCCGGGCTGAAGCTGGTACCCGGGCGTGGCAGGGGGGCTCGACAGCGCCCCCTGGAACGGGCTCCGAAAACTTGGTCCATAAATCAAACACGCTTGCATGGAATAATATGAAACTCGGTACACTTATAGATCTCATCGGTTCATATATACTTCATGCTCTGATTTTTTACCCCAGCCCGACAGGATGTCTGCTATTTAGGGTTGTTTGGAAAACCCATGCTCAGGAATTCGAAATACTCCTCCTAGAGAATTCAAACACACGGCACGAAACTCGGTCAGCATGAAGTCAAGACACTGAGGATGAAAAATTGCCAGGGGATTTTTGATATCTCGAACGCTTTGGCCGTGGCGAGGAAACGAATTTATGGCGAGAAACAAGAAACAGGAAGTGTGTTATAACTTCTGCATACATTGACTGATCTCGATGAAACTTCAGCAGTCTGTTCGCTGTAAGAGACCGATCACATGGATGTGACTATTGTGAGTCAAAGTTATAGCGCCACCAACTGGCAGCAGGAAGTGTGTCACTTTCAAAATGCTTTGAAATCACCCTCTTATTTTTACCCGATTTGCTTCAAACTTTATGTGTATAATGTAGACACTCGCCAGATGTAGACCTGTGAAAGGATTATTGATGTCTTAGATACTGTTGCCATGGCAACGCATCAAACTTTAATATTCTTTTTGGATGCTTTTGAGACTCTTAGCATGCCTGAAATTGCTTAAAATTGCATGAAACTCGACAGACAGATCACATTTATTAGCTAGTAGACACGTGCAAAGTTTCAGAAACGGGCGTGGTGAGGGGCTCAGTAGCGCCACTTTTAGTCAAAAATGGGGTATTAGTTTTACCTACAGTAACAAAAATCGGTATGTATATTCGTCTCCT